CTCATTTGTCAAACTATTAGTGGTCCCTCTGTCAACATAAATAAATCTGTCCATAAATCTTGACAGGTATAATCATTTGTTGCGTTTGAAAGGCAAGTCTCTAACATTAGACCCCTTTTGATTCCTAACATGATTATCTTTAAAGAAAGACATTTCAGTTGCCTTCTGAATCTGGCCTCTGTCAAATGATTTCTCCGCTCTTGCTGAGTTATCTACTCTTACGAAGTAAGCAAAGGCATAATTCGTGCTGTCAAGTCTCTTGAAGACCACACGAATCATCGGCAGTGCAGAAGCTCTGCAGTCCTACCCCTCAAGCATTTATGCTCCTGTTTGTCAAACTGGACTCCTGATACACTTATTGCTCTTTATTGGTAGTTTTCTTATTCCTATACTGAGCCATTCTTCTGGCACCAGTTGTCCTTTCTTTTGGGAAGATATCAAAGGACATTCTTTGAAGGTATTCCATCCGAAGCTGCTGATCTTTTCAGTGCTGTTGTTGTTGGCAAACAATCTGTACCCATTTGAAAGAATTAAGCCTCCAAAATGGCTGTTTACATAGGGGATAGCATAACTTCAGATTGAATTCCAGAATACCAACCTGGGTTTCATGAACTCCCCTGCTGTTCTGGGGCACTCTGACTTGGGAATGAGCCCTAGCTCAGGGCTTCTATAGCTCCCAGAGAGATTCAAAAAATGACCTTGTTTTTCTTTGTTTGGTGGTCTAACACCAGAAATTCTGTCTGTTTGGCTTCCAGCAGCATTCACCACACTGGAACGTGAAGTGGGGAATCTTTGGCCAGAGTTTAGCACACAGCTCTGGCTTGTGACCCAAAGGATGGGCAGTGCACAGGTGCCAGAAGGCAGCCAGCACATCCTCAGGTAGAATAGCTTCCTGCCACATAGAAAATCCAAGTACAAACACATGGAGAATGAATCAGGGAGTTCCTGGGTAGGGTTTGTATCAAGTGCATAGAAAAGACTAGAACCTGCTGGTACTTGGTACCTGAGCAGCTGCAGTGACCCAGGAGTGCCCAAATTATACAGCCAATGGAAATTAGCTGCTGAACAAGATGATAACAAGTCTAATGTTTCTCCGTCACTGTCTTCTAATAGGGAAGGGAAGAAATCTTGAGTGTTTTTCATGAAATATATTTAAAGTTATTTCTTTTCCCTCTCGCAGCTTTCCACTTCTTCAAATCATCTGTGGCTTGCTGCAGCAAAGATTTTTAATTGACAGAATTTCAACTTGTACTCTAAGGACACTCATTACTTCACAAGTTCTCTGGTTTCATGGGACCTTAATGCCACGTGGGATATTTCCCACCGTCTTCAGTGTAGCTTTGCCACTGAAACTAATTTTTTTTTTTTTTTATGAGCTGAAAAAGAAGCATCTGTAAGAAGAGCAATTTTTTCAGAGGTGATCCCTTCTGCTTGTGATCTTATACCTTGTACAGTACATCCAGATGCAGTGCCATAATGCTTTGAAGAAGCAGCTGTTAGCTAAGGTTCCTGCTTGAATCACAGATCTCACTATAGTTGGTTATTAAACAGCCATTCTTTCCACATCAAGCCACAGTTTGGCATACTCCACCAGAACAGATAATATGCAAGAACCAATGTAAGACATATAGTTTACCTCAGCAATAGTAGGAGGAAACTCAGTACTCCACTCCAAGACATGGAATCAAGGGAAGGATTTACTTAAATTTGTGTATCGTATCTGTTTTGGTTAAAGTACTTAGAAATATATAGTCAAAGAGGACAGTTGGCTGAAGCCTTGCTGACAGAACACATTAAAAAACACTTAAGGCCCCTTGGTTTGTGGAATTTGTTGAAACTGAGGTGATAACAGCTTGCTTTTATGAGATTGCATGGTCCTGGGCACGTGCTTACAGTGCAAGTGAATCTGTGTTCACTCCAACACCTGCATGTGCTGATACCACTGGAGGATCGGCAGGACTTAGCAGTTCCCACAAGAGCTTCTGGGCACCTGAATTGTGGAGGCAGATAGCCAGAGTTGCTTAAATCCCATGATTAATCTATAACAGGTAGCTGCAAGAGGCCCTATCTGTGCTTCCTGGGTAACCAGCACCCATTAGTTCTCACTGCCACTGTTTCTCCAGGCTAGGAAAGATGCTGGGCTCTGCAGCTTCCTTTTCTGTGTACTGTCAAGATGGTGCTCTGTCAGGTAACTGCTGTCACCACCAACTGCAGAGCTCATTGCATCTAGAGTATAATAGCACCTTCTGAGCCGCTTCTTTTATGCGTTAACCTACTTGGAAACAGAAGCTCATGTGCAAATTCCCTCTGTATTTTGTGCAGACTGGAACGTAAGCCAAATCTGAGCTGAATCGCCTCTTCCAAGAGCCAGCTGAATCAAAATCCCCTGATGTAGACATCCCCAAATTTTATGGGTGCAAAAGACGTCTTTGATCCAAATTTTGCAGTTTGCTCCCATCTCTGCTTAAAACATAAAATGTATGTTTTTAGGCAAAAAGGATATAAACATCTTGTTCATGTTTGAGCTGAGAATGTCTTTTTTCTGTAGGCTGTCAACACAACTTCAAATGCATGCAGCCTGTCCAATCTGACAGACAATTTGCATATTTGTGGAATGCTAACGCCAAGTTACTGTATACATTTGTACATGAAAGCATCAGAAAATTTGGAGGATTAAAGGTGGAAATGTATCCCCTTCAGCCTCGATCAAAGATCAAGACAGCACATCAATAGAGGGCAGGCAAATAGCTGCTGTTTTGCCATTTGGAACAACTTAACCCAAAATAATAAAATCCATGCTATTTCCTAGGACATTTATAGCTGATGGCTTCGCACATGCTAATTGCTGGAGCATTGTTTTAGCCATTTGAGAGTGTGATGTGGAATCTGTCATGTCGTGTGAGCCCTCTGACACTGACTGTCTTGTTCTGCATGCCTGGGATGCAGCTAGACCTCCAAGGACTTCCCCAGTGTGAATGTCTGTCTAGGTCTGCACCTTCCTCAGGTCCTAGGAAGTCCTTGCATTCCAGAAGGAGGTGCTTGGCCTGTACAAAAGTGACTTAGTCTGCAATGAAATCGGTGTCTGAAGGAACAGCAGCAGGCACTCAATAAATTGCCATGAGAAGATGCTTGCTTGTCTGCATGCATCCAGGTACATCCTGTAGCCTGGCTCCAGACACACCAATTTGAAAATTGAGTCTTTGAGCCTTAAAAAGAAGATGTGCTAAAGAACAGTTTCACATCATTCTACCTAAGGATCAAAAACTGATATTTATTTTAGTTTTACTAAAAGGTAACCTAAGATATTCTGTATTGGCTAATGGATATAACTTAGGATCAAATATTGGCAGCACAGAACAGAGAAAGCAGGAGCTTGTCAAATCTTTCCTCTGGTCTTTAATCCAAAGCATGAATATTGCTTTGATTCTGAAAGGGTTTGGCCAGCCTTTTTCCTAAATGGTTGCATGTCTGTGCATTCTCTGGCTGAGGGAAGTGGAAGTGGCAAAGCCTCAGATACCTGGGAACCAAGAGCTGAAAACTTTCCTGGAAACTCCTCATGGAGTAACAAAATTCCCAGGCCAGGCTCCAGGCTGAGCAGATGCAAACAACCAGCCAAACAGAACCATCAGTTCTGTCAAGATGCAGCCATTGCTTACGGAAGAGAACCGGGAGTTTGTAGGAGCTGAACACCCAAATCCCTTTAATCTCCATGGGATTTTGTCTCCTTCTTCTCATACTCCAAGAGAAAACCATGTCTGTTGTCTTTAAATATTCTGAGGACTCCACACAACACTTTATGGGTATGCCTCTTCAATTCACAAGAAGTACAGAAGCACCAGATTCTAGCTGTGTTTGCTCACACCTACCCCAGAAAGCTCCAGCTTACATGAAACTCGCAGCCACACAAAGCCCTGTGCTGCCACAGGACAGGCCTAGTTTAGGTATCCCAGGCTGAAAACTTCAGTCTTAATGTGTTCTGAAAAGGGTGTTGTTCTAGAGCACATTACTCCAACCAAGATGCCTTTCTACTGGGAGCAGCTTTGCAGAGCCGGTCTCTGCTTGGATGCCCATTCCAACAGGGATCTGACAATTCACATGTAGGCAAAGTCCTCTCATGCATTCACAGTTGAATGTGACCTCCATATATTTGTTTAAAAAATAATTAGGTTTGCTTAACTCTTGTACTGTTGCATTTTCTTTCTTCCCTCTCCCCCCCCTTAAAGTAGCTTTTCCTGTAGCTCTCCCAGGCCGGCACAATGCTGGCTTTTAAAAGTGATTTGTCTGTTACCAGGCAGTTTTAAACTTTTACTTCTTAAGTCCTTACAAACCAGAAATACAAGGAGACTAAAAAAATCTCCCGGGGGTTGTTTTTATAGTAACAGTGAAAGCTTAAAATGTTGCAGCAGCAGCCAAATTATTTTTCTTTTAGTGGAAACAATACCAACAACTGGAGTCTACATACAGAACAGTTTAAAACTACCCATAAAAATGACTAACAAATGAGTGCTACATTTCTTTTTATCATTTACTCTTTATAAAAAGTGACAGTTTGAAGGCTACTAATTTGGCAAGTTATTTCCCCTCTGTAGTCATGGTTGTTCAGTAATTAAAGGTTATATAAAATGTGGATGTATACATATCAGTAGAGTCTAACAGTTTTGTGTGTTTGAGGAGATAGTTTGGTTTTCTCACTTACTACTAGAAAAAAATAGGTAGTTATGTGCAAAATGTAGCCAGAGGGCCAAGTTTGATTTCAGATTAAAAATAAATAAGCAAAGAATTCTCTCATGACTAAAGTCCAAGTCCTATTTACTTTCTGTAACACTCCAAAATTGTTTAGAATGAGGACTTGCAATGATATATAGTTTCCTGAAGGCATGCAGGAGTATTTTCTCCCATGACTAAACAAATGGCTTCTTGAGCACAATTGAAATGAAACATTTAAAGTATAATTAAAGTATTATTAATTACTAATGATAATTGTTGAGGCTATTCTATAAGTCACATAATCTCCTCAGGTAAATAATTACTTCTTAAAATCTATTATTAAAAATGGTATGTGTTAGTATCTAAGCATCCCTATCGTTCTTGAGAACAACACTTATGTTCCTAAGTGACTTAGACCAGTTTTGGAATGATTGTCTGACATTTCATCGTTTATTTGCTGACAATGGCCCTTTCTGTACCTGTAAGTAACAGAAAAAAAAAAAATAATGTGTCTATGCCATTCCTTCTGAAAGGGCTAAAAATACAGTACTTGGTTTAGGCAACATAAAGCAATTCTGCCCAAAAAAGTCTAACTAGAACTTAGTTCAACTAAGTAAAATACAAGAATTTAAAGCTCTGGCTGTATAACAGTGAAGTGCTTCAAAAGAGACTTCCAGAAGTAGTTGGTCCAATTCTGTCTTAACAGGAGTCAGTGGCTGGGCTCACAGAGCGAGATCTGGTGTAACACCAGGTAGGTGCACCCAGTGTGTTCCTTTGTTAGCTGTAATGTAGGAGAGCTGACTGCAGTTACTTTAGTAACAGCTGTTTTACCTGCCCAGATGAGATATTAGAGATGAGGACATATCTGGTTACATGGATGCATTCTGAATTTTGTCATCTATCCTCCAAACTCAATGTGTGAAGGCTGTTGGGTGTCCAGTCACATTTCAGCTGTTTATTTGGCCTTTGTGAGGTCCTATAGAAAAGGAAAATTGCTCCACTATCTGAAGCCTTCCCAAAGTCCCCATTAATCAAAAGTCACAGACCAACTTTTATCAGTACTCACCATGAGAAATGTGGGAATGGAGGAAAAGGGTCCTGGTCCACAAGATTGAAATTAAGCAGATAATTCTCTAAGCCAAAACTCATCTTAGTGCTGAGCCCTCATCAAAATGGCCACTAATAGCATGAGAAAACAGGTAGAATCAGAGAATCACAAGGTTGATTGACCTGTAAGATCATCTAGTCCAACTGTCCTCCCATTATCATTGCTACCATCGGCTACTAAACCATATCTTGTAATGCCACAATTGGACAAAAAGTACCACAATAACAACAGGGTGGCAAAGTCATCGGCTACAGCAAATGAGAACAAGCCCAAATGCAGCAGCCACAAATGCAGAAATGAAGGAAAAAAGCTGCTTACCTTTGGAAGGGCTCTAGTAAGCAGAGATTCCCAACAAGATACCCTCACCTCCACTGCCAACCCTTAAATGAGGTCTGGGAAGGGGTGGATCTTGGCTCCATCCCTTCCATCACTCAGGTACATTGCATGCACCTGAGCTCCCCTGGGTTGGCCCTGCCTTCTCATCAGGTGCTCAATCACTGGTTCAGGCCATGACTTAGCATTTCTGCTACAAAATCCATTCCAGTGTATATAGAACATAGTGGAATAATACCATCTCATTTGATTATACAAAGTCATTTTTTCCTTAGTGTTTTAGTTCTCAAAATTCCCAGAATACACTACATTGAAACTGTTCACTTGAGAAATTAAGTACCGTGTGTGATAAGACAGTCATGTGAAATTTTTAAGCTGTCATTAAAAACGATTATAATTAGGACAAACTATATGAAAATGCTTTAAAATTGAGACCCTGGTGAATTAAAAATTAAGGGGTATATTATGTATTATCATGTTGAAGGGCAGGGATTTACGCATGTAACTCCCATTAACACTAATGTGAGTTGCCTTCACAAATCCCCACGCGTTGTGCTGAGCATCGCCCCATTTGTTTGTGCTGAGCAGCCTCAGCTTTTGTGATGCTCCGGCACAGTGCCTGTGGAGAAGGAACATGACAACGCAGCAGAAGTGTAAAGCATTTTCCTTTCTGACAAGGAGCCCATCTCGTGCTCTTGTCATCTCATCTGCTCCTTTTTACACCCTTGGATTTGGCAATATTGACACACTAAGGTAAGCTCATCCATCTGTAACTTGGGATTTGCTGAGATTCTACTGCTAGCCCTCAATAGAAGTGCCCTGTCCTACCGCTTTATAAATTAATTTCTGCCACTTTTATTTAAAAATTGTTAGAAGAACGGTCGTATTAACGCGCTATAGCTTAGGGGGGAAAAAAGAAAAGAAAAAAAGCGACCAACAAACCACAACTCGTACCTTTCCACCACATTACAAAGTTGTAATTGTACTAATGCACTATATTCTTTACAACAGATTTCCCCCAGGGTGAAATAAATAAATCTAGATAAAATAGATACGGTTAGAGTCAGTACGTCTCCTATTTTGTTAATTAGCACCTGAGCAAAACGCTTTTCCCCGCTCTTGCCAAGCCAGAAAAAAAGCACTGATGAATTTTCAGGGTAAGTAATGGAAGCCAAGTTTATTTCTTTATTGGTACCTGTGGATTCTCTTGTATTGCTTGTTAACAGATGCAAGTGGGCAATATAACTATTACATCAGGCAATAATACAGAAACCCAGGCAGTTTCCAAGCAACAGCCCAGCGCTGATTCTTGCCAGCTCTTCTCTAGGATTCCCTCAGACACTGTAAGTCGAGTTGGACAATATAGTCTAATTTTGAGAAAGGAATAAAGCATGAAACTGGTGATTTTCAAAATCATATTTTTGCAGATTTCTTACAAAATCAAAAGAGCTAAAATTGAAAACTGTCAGAAGCATTTCAGCTCAAGAGCTGCGTAAACTTTTCTATTGTTCAGGCAGCTAAACAGACACAGCTATTTTGCTTCAGATCTTGCCCACAAAAATATCAAATAATACAGAACATAACAACAGAGCTGCTTTAGCTCGTTGGATTGAAACTGGATGTTATGGTGTTGCCTTTTGCAGTCTCACTCAACAGTTTTGCCTAAAAGTAAAACACTTTTCATCAGTTCTGTCTGAATTCCCTGGTCAGCCAAATCTGGATGCTGATGGAAAAATTCGTAGTAAATCATCCTGTTTAAGGCATAGGATGTGTGCATTCCTGCACAGTTCTGTGTGTATACAAGATAAAAGCATATTCCAAAGCTAGGTCGCTTTCAGATGTCACTAGCTGACAGTTTCTTAGCCTACATGTGGCATTGTAGAAATGACATCTGCTTTACATGTAACAAGGGATTCGATGGAGCAGCAAAGCTGGGATCTCTTTCAGCATCCATAGCTTTCCTCGTAATGGACCAAACCAAGCGTGGGCTCTTTCTCACTGTTTGTAGAACACAGTTTGCACACTTTTGTGTCCATTATGGTGCTCAGTGCCAGACACAGGTTTTGAGCCAAATGTCCCTTTTATCTCAGTATAAATAATATCCCTTCAGAAAACTGTTTATATTTAGGATAAATAAGAAGAGACATACATGCACACACTCACACTCATGGACCCAAATGCATGCGCTTTCAGGAGCACAAACATAGACAAACAAGAAGAAAATATTGTAAGCCAGATGTTTCCTGGCTTGGAATGCTCCATCACTTTCCATACGCCGTGTAAGGTTCCGAAATGCTGAGGGAGCAGAAGTCTGACACAGGAACCTGCAGTGCTAACAGCTTCACCTCGCTGCGGGGGGAGGAAGAGGAGGTTTTCTTCATTGGTTAGGTTCAATTTTCAGGGGGAGGGGGGAAAATTTTTTAAATGGATATCTCCTAAACAAAATTCCCTGAGATGTTATTAGCTGAATCGTTTCCCTTTTTGGCAAAAAAAAAAAAAAAAAAAAAAAAAAAAAAAAAAAAAAAAGGCGTTAAGAGTGAGATGGAGGTGGCAGAGCTGTAGGATGTGTGTGTGGCTGACAGGCACCTGGCTGGGGCAGTGTTGCAATTCTGTGTTCTTTCTCTTTTCTTTGTCGAGCTGTTCCAGTTCTCAGGTGTTAGATATTTTTCAAACAAGCAATAAAACATTCTCTAAGAATTGGACATTTTTGGCTCCCTTAGAGGGGAAGACAAACATACACCTCAATGAAAACCTTATTTTCTATTAGAAACCAGTTTTGGTGAAACAAAGTCACTCAACCATACAACTCCATCCACATTATTTCTGTTTCCATCCACTCCTCCTTCCCTTCCCCTCCCCAGCTCCGAGCCATTCTCTGCCTGGCTGATATATGTTGACATGAGAATTAAATCACTAAGAAGTATGAATGCTTTTGCTTTAACAGAAAGCCAGGTTACTATTCCTAGCATGGAAAGTTAAATGAAATCATGCTGTGAGTGAATTCCTATTGATTTCTTCAGGATTGATCAAAAACATTTGTCAAACTTTTGTTTTCTTTCTGTCCTACATCTTCTTTAGACACGTAGTTAAACATACTAAGGAACGTTTACATTTTAAAAATGTGTTCTAAGGTCTTTATATAAACATACATGTAATAAAAGTGACTGGTGATTTATATTATCTATATACATTCAGATATTTTATTTTCTAGGCCAAGGTTTTAAAAAATAGGTGCCTAAATTCAGACACCTAAGCCTATGTTTACAGTCTTTGGTTGCCTGATTCTCAAGCATGTTAGTATCCAGAAACTCTCCTTCTATTAATTCTGGGAGCCTGGAAATTTTGGACAAAAAACTACATTGGGCTGTTTTTCATCTATTAAAATCAGAAGAGGAAAACTAAGGAAAATTATAAACACCCACAAGATGTAAAGGCAAAAATAAAACTATAAATCCACCGTGTTTTCCTCCATTTAACTGAAGAAAATGAGTTGTGCTGATATAAGGCACATGAGTACAACCCAGCAGATTTATGCCTGCTGACTGTTAGCACTGAATTTGACCTAAAGCCCTCCTCCAAAGCATTTGTCCTTTCTTCTTTAGGTTCACACCGAGGCCTCCAGTTTCAGCAGTGTGCGCGCCTATGCACCTAACTTATATGCATATTCATGGGGGCTGCATATGGAAACGGAGCAGCCGTGCCAGCAGTTTTACAGCTAACAGGCTGTTTGTGTGTGCAAGCTTCTGAGGTTGTGTGCCATGGGGGTATTGGGGCACGTAAATCCATTGGGCAGTCACACACACATCTATAACGTGTACAGCTGCACTTTTTTTACAGTCAGCTAGCGGAATAGTCAGATGAGAAGGGATAAAACTTCAGGCAGCTGAACTCTGAAATAGTCATAATGATAGAAAAATCTTAAAAAGTAATTTCGGATGTAGAAATGATGTGATTCAGCTTTCAGAACCTGCCCATGCATCCTGCTGATAAGCACAGGGCACTTCAGCTGAGGTACTATTGGATTTGTGTTTCTAATTACAAGCAAATCCCTTTTGAAGGCAGTAAACATAAACCAATGCTGTTCTAAAATCTAAAGGGAGAAAAACCTAATATATGTATTAAAAGAAAAAAAAAAAACAACAGAAGGCAATAAATACATAGCAAGAAAAAGTTACTGGTGCAGCTGTGTAAATAACATGAACAGTGTCAAAGAGTAAAAGGAAACTGCTAGAGCCACTTGGGATGAGGAGGGGGTCTACAACCACTGGTTGCTCTGACTGGGTTCTGCCTGTTGTTGCGGCCCGGGTTTTTCTGCAAGCTACAGATCTCTCCCTTAGAAGACACTTTCAAGAAAGACAGAGAAAGAAGAGAAGGAACTTCAGGTTTGGCTGCAGGCTTGGCCAACCACACCACTTGCCCATGGAAATGCTCTGAACCTCAAGCAGCAAGCTCCTTCTGACCCAGGAGCTCCAGCTGTGGGAGCCAGCGAGGTGAGGGATCCTGGGGGCAGGGATGTGGGGCACTGCACCCACAGGGTGACTTCCCTCCTTTGCTTGGAGTTCTTCATTTTTCCAGTTCCTGAAAATGAGCTAGGATCAGCTGAGAAGGAAAAACTGATCTGCATGTTTTTGTTGCTGCTCAGAAGTTATAGGTAGTAAATAAGAAATGTAAAATTCCCTGTTTTAGGCCAACTAGAAAACTCTTGCTTGGAAGCATAAGAATCTAAATTATATATTTTTTTCAATTTTACTGAAAAATATGGTGCTGGGAAGAAATTCTTAGCTGAATCTTTGTGATTACTGTTAGTAGAATCCTAGTGATTACTATTTGTCAGGTGTAATCCTCACATTTTGAACAAACATAGGACTTTAGAAAGGTGCCAGGAATGCTCCCTCCGGACAGGAGCTCCACACCTCTCTGCAGAAGGCCAGTGTTGTTCTGCAGACACCATCTGATCAATAGAGAAACTTCTGGGACTTCCCATAGATTTACTTCAACACTTGATATCACTATGTACAGGAGGCTGGAT